TATAACACATCAGTAGTAGGTAATGGATATTTTAAAACTTTTTACAGAATTAGTAATTGCACTATTCATTAAAAGATAATTACTTTGCTCCCACGATATAACCTCACTTAGTTTCCTGTGCCATTTTCCTCGCGCTGTCACCAAACATGGAAACAAATAGTCCTAATGTAAAACGATCGGAGATGTTTTGCCGGAAAGATCTTATTCAGATGTTTCTGAGAATATATTGCCCTTCCTTGCTCTTGCTAGTGCAAAGATGACCGCAAGAAGCCAAAACAAATAGCTGAAAGATATTGTGGAAACGTATTGCTAATGTAAGGACAGCATAATGTAGGAAGATCCAAAATCATGTGATTTCTGCAATATATCTGCATCTATACATCACATTATATCACAGACCACAGATATAACCAGTTGAGAACCAAATACGGACATTCAAATCACCTTGTAGTCCATTCGCTAGTTAATCGATCAAAGAAAAAATTCCGGATTTTTTTTTCTCCAGTTCTGTATGTTTTTTGGAGTGATGAATTCGAGTTTTACATTTTTCACCACGAGAAAAGACAACTTTACAAGGACGATTGCAAAAACTTTTTGCTTACATTTACACAAGAATGCAATTTGTCGAAATAACCTTCACATAGAAAATTAAGGTAGACAAAATTCTCTACAACATACATTTTATCTTCAATCTTTCGACCATACCGTGGGGCAATAGAGAAGGCTGAAAAAAGGTGATATCTTGGCTGTCTAGCTAAAACAGGAAAATAACCCTCTCCCGACATTTTGTCTTGTGGTAGTGTTTAACTTTCAATACATAATAATAATAATAACAATAATAATAATAATAAAATTAATAATAATAATAAAATTATTATTATTATTATTATTATTATTATTATTATTATTATTATTATTATTAATAATAATAATAATAATAATAATAATAATACGTTATTTTTGAGACTATAGCGATCAGGCTCGCTCTTGCGCCTAACCACTTAAAATATAAATTTACAGGTAAAAATTGAACAGTAAAGCGTTATTAAGTACACATTTAGTAAATAAAATTTAAAAAATACAACTTAGAAATATCTTTCCTGCGGAATCACGAAAACGAAAGAAAATAACATCCCAACATTTGCCTTAAGCGGTCGGGGAAAACCAGGGAAACAAAGGAAGTATGCGTGCTCTACAACATTGAGCAACAAAATCCAATACTTCTAAAAAAATAAAAAAATAAAATTAGAAAACAGTAAAGGTGTACCTGAAAATAAATTCTGAAAAATATTAATTTCCTTAATTACTAGATCATGTTTGAGATATTTTGTGTTGAATGAATTATCCTGAATTTTACAGATGTGCTAAAATCTTACGCGTAGTCTCACATAAGGCAATGTGCTGTCAACCCCAAATATTAACATTAAAAACACCCAATACCAGTAACATTCTCAACTAATTCTTAAGGGTAAATACCTTTACATTCAACATTGTTCTACAGAAAATGCAAGTTATAAATTGCGTCGCTTTCAATGTTGTTGCGGCCCATCTTTCAATTATTTGCACTATCTCATGATTAATACTCCGATTCTTCCGAAAATAGAGGGAACGAAGCGTGCAGGATGTTTGCATATCCAAATCATAATTAATAAAAATGTGACGGAGACGAAGAAAAAGGGAAGAGAAAGTACGTTCTACACAATGCCAAATATTTATATAATATTTTTACCATCAATATGTTCTATCGTGTCCCCGATGTTTCATTGTAAACAAAAAAACAACAAATAAAAACGAAATTTTACTTCTAAAAAATGTAAGATTAGATAAGTTCATAAATATTTCGTTTTAGTTATAATTAGTTATAGTTAGTTATAAGTTTTAGTATAAAAAGAAATATAGACTCATTATAGAATTATACGGCGGTAACGATTCATCGGTCATTTTCTTTCTTCCTATTTCGTTTCTGAAAGAAATTGAAAGTTATTGTCTTCTCCAGGATCAATTACGTCCCTATTAGCCGATGGTTAGATTGAACAAAACATATTTTTGTCAAAATATAGACATTTCTCAATGTGGCGAACCTCAAATTCGAATTCAGAACCCCAAGAACTGTACAGAACAGGTACAAATACCCAGAATTTTTTTCTTGAATTGCGCATTTTTTAATACGATGGAATTGCAATATTAAAACATTGCTGAGAGATAATACTGAATAATTGTGCAGAAAGGCATACGTTTGAATGAAAATAAATACCAACTCGTATATATAAATGCATGCAATGCAATCTAGCATACAATGTAACTTGTAAAAAGTAATGTCATGCAAGGTATAGTCATTATAATACATTATTTTATTAATACACTTTATTGTATACCATATACCTATATTACTGTTATAATAAATTGTGTATTTTTATAGTTTGTTGGAAAAAGGCCCTGATATATATGCGGCATTTATAAACAAGGCATGATAATGCACGACTGTAATTAATCCTTGTTGCCCTTAGGGGAGAATATGCCTTTGTGTCCTTGCCGCTCGTGATCCACATCACACAAACATTAACCGCGATTTTTCAACAATCCGTGCATGCATTCTTGTGTCGATGATGCAAAAAATCCGATATGATACTAACACATATTACCATCATATTTTAGAAAATCATTTCTATGCTTTAGTGTTCTGAAAAATGTTAGATCGTACTCATTAAAAAGTTTGTGATACAAAATATTTCAAACGTGAAAATGATTTTTTTAAACTCAAACCACTCAACGAATACCAAATTTTTCAAACTACAAATTTCAAACGGTAAAGTGATAACAATTTCAAAGTGAGTAAAGACAATATTCAAGTCTTCTCCCTTCGGTTTAATTGTACATTTTACAAAATGTATATACCTTGCCAATGATAAATTTTCAGTTCTGTGAATTCTGTGTCTCTTTTCTGGCTGTTTTGTGTCACTACTGTGTATTGAAAAAGAAGCATCTTCATAAACCTGAAAATAAACAGCACATTTCACATCCTGCCAACTATTTTGTTCTTTAGTAATACACATCAGTGCAGGTTTCATCCGTTACACCTAGCAAAATTTATACGAACGTGAGATATGGTTACAATATACAGCTGGCCAAGGAATCTATGCACCCGATTGACGTCACAGAGGAGGGAGTCAGCTACACTGAACGCCGTCTCAAAACCATCGACTGACTAACTTCTGGACTACTAGTATCGGGACGGAAAGTACATTTACATTTCGTGCAATAAACGCACACAAGAAAGCCAATTAAAGAAATTACTGACAAAGAAACAATTCATTTCTGGACGAATACAAATTCAAGAGCTAGCATTGGGTACCCGATGTTTTCTGAAGACAGATGTTATGCGCAGATTGCTGCACAGCGCACGCATGGTGTCTCCCTACTCGTGTGTCACGTAGCACATTAACGTTCGTCGAGTGTTTTGTCATGTCATGCCAAATCTCCATCTTGTGATTCTGCGCCATTCTGCTTAAAGTTTCGAAATAACAAAGAGTCTAAAGAGTTCTAAGAACATAATTTCAAAGACAAAAGCAAAGATGTTACAGCGATCGGTTTTGACCAGAAAGAATTTCTTTCGGTGTATTATAAAAAAACATCAGTTCAAAATGCACTGTTAACAGTAACATAAGAGTTGTAAAGGGCAGAGACGGACTTCACGGTCGTTGTCTGCTCTCTTTTGTTTAGCAAAGTAGTAATGGCTTCATCATTTAGAAGTTCAATTATAAGAGCCTTTCTTAACCCACAGTGCACGTCACCTGCTTTGGTCATGCGCTCCGTGAGTGCGATGAATGTTTAACCACAAGAGATGGCAGAGTTACTCCCGCGAGAAGGAACATATCGCTTGCCAAAACATACGTGGCCCTCCACGTATCTCCCCAAACGAGCTGCGCCCGCGGTGAGACACACTCTAAGCACCTGACTGGTTTTCCAAAGCGTGAGGTGGTGTAGTACATGTCAGTGTGCGTAAGAAGAGAAGGCGGGGACAGTTTTGTTCCCTTGCTGGACGGAAATATCCGTTGCCTAAACACACGTTGGCTTGCATGGATATTTTCAGCTCTAGGTAGAACTCCAACAGAGATCGCACTAGGTGACATGCTCTAAACCGACGACTGGCCTTGCGACATACGTCCGAGAGTAGTGTATGTCAGAGATTGTGTAAGTGGACAAGAGGGGAAACATCCGTGGTTCATTTGTTTATATAATGTTTCGAGCATTCATTTGGTTCTGATCTCAGACATAAAAAAAAGGCACGGTCAGAGAAGCTAGTCAAAATAACACTCCTCCACACAGTAACTGAAGTCGATCTGCCAATGTAGCTACGAACAAAACGCTGTCACCGCCGAGACACAAAAACTGGTACCAACCCGCCCCAGCAGAGAAGTCACCTATGCCAGTTTGGCTCAAAGAAAACATAGCCGGATAAATCAAATTAAAAGGAATTAAATTAAATTTAAAATCACGCCTCCTGTAGAGACAGTTTCCTGACACTGTTGGACTGATAACTGTGATAGATAACGATGATTTGGATCAATGCCAACTAAGGAGATTGAATTAATCAAAGGGAATTAAAGGAAGCGTGCCTTGCAGCGGCAGCACAAGCGACGCATTCTCGACACGAAGCAGCCGTTGGTCCGTTTGCGCAGCGCCATTTCCACGAGGAAGGCCACGGCCGCCGCCAGCGCCCCCACGCCCAGGACGACGGCGGGCTCCACCAGCGCAGACAGGCCCAGGGGTCGTGCCGCGGAGGTGCGGGCGGGAGGCAGAACGGCAAATGGCGGAGACAGAGCGGGCACCCGTCGAAGGATCCCAAAATGTCGTATCCAAAGCCAAATATTGCTGCAAAAAAATCAAGCAGTTAGGATCCCTCCATTGAAATGTGACTGTGAAGAACAAACAAAATTGAGAGTCGAAAAGGGCCACTTCGTTGACTTATGATTAAAGAATGAATTCAAAACTATCACGCAATGGATAAGGTAAAGAAGGGATATGGAGCAGTTGAAAGTTTACATGGCATATATATTTATCAGTAGGTAACAAGGTAAAAAATCGGATCCATTAAGACAACATGACCTACACATATGGCTGTGGGGAAAGAAGGATACAAATCAGTAGTAAGACACATCGCAATCAACACGTGACTCTTACAATAATAGCAAGATAAGCAGTTGAAAAGACTGCATGCCAATTATATGTGGGTTTAGAGACCTAGGTCAATAAAGAATCCATTAACACATTGTTCCCTCAACATATGACTTTGGGAAAGGAAAGAAATAAACAAGTAACTAGTAGTGCTACAGAATGGCACAGACTTTTACGTATTAGTTCTCTATTTCCTTTGGTCTCGGCTCTCTATTCAAACTTGCCACATATTATTGCCTGCTGCCTTCTATTGCCCTCCAAAATTATTTTTTTTCACATTTTCTTAAGTTTTCAGTAACTTAATTGTAGAGCGGAAATATTATTTTAAGATTATTAAAGAACGGTAAAATGTCGTCCTAATTTGAAATTTTTTTTGAAAAATATGTAGCTGTTTTTTAAAAAACTGGCGTTTAAGCGCTTTGATATACTTTTGACATTTATGCAAGTGCATCTGACCGAATAACCTGGAGCAGCGCCATTGTAATGAACTGACACTGTAGGAAGGAAATTTAGCGATTGTAGCAGTCGCTATGATTATCTGTCGATGTTGGCGCAAATGTCTACTTACTGAGTGGCCTGGAGGAGCGCCAATTGTTATTGAATTAGCCATGTAGGAAAGTAATTTAGAAACCGTAGCATTCGCTACGATTGTGTACCTGTTGATGTTTGCGCAGATGGCTACTTGCACAATGGGCAACCTCCAAAAGGTATTGGACAGGATACGTAGGAATGAAACTTCGAAGGCGTAGCAGCTGTTATCGACAAGTACCTTTCGATCTTGGCGTAGATGCCTGCTTGCACAATGTCCTGGAGAATTGCGTTTAAACGATGTTTGGTTCTGTCGTTTAAATGCACCTTGAAAGAAACGTAGGCCGGCGTAAAGACGCATTGCGGCACTTTATAAGCAAAGTCAGTAAAGTCTGATGACTTGTCCCAAAACTCTTGGGCATTCAGGAGAATTCCGATTTGCTCTTCAGTTACGATGACCGCTGCTGCGGATTCCTGCGATTGGGTTCGAAATCCTTTTACCGCGCCCATCCTCCCGCCTGGACATTCACTGTAGCTACACACAGAAACAGATATTTATGTGTCAAGTGAAGTTTATATACAGGTGGGTACAGTAGGGTATTCTGTGTAATTTAGTTGTCTTGCTCGCGACATCTTGATCTGGAGTGAATAAACAACTAATGAGAACCTAATTGGGTATCTCTCACGTGAACAACGTTTTATATTATACAAGTACCTTTTCATAATTTTTACATTTTTAGCAATATGACTAGGGGCATTGACTATGGAGGTGTAAGGTATAAATAATAACATACACGATAGAAATCGTGTAGTGCTCTATTTAGAAGAAATAGGAATTGAATGTATTGTTTGAATGATGATAATGATATTGAATCTTTGTATATCGAATCGTCATGTCTTCGTTAAGAAGAACTCGTACTTAACGAAAACGTTTAACGTTTCTTTTTTTTATCAGAATGTTTATACCCATCAAACTTTATTGTTACAAACGTCACGGTCACTAATGTTAGAAGCCTATAATTCTAACCATCAAACTTGTATTGAGAGACAGAAAATTACCTGAAGAGGATTTTGTAAGTAAAAACATGTCGATGAAAATAAAATAAGAAGAAAGAAAATATACGCATGAATATAAATAGGAATCTCACCCAATAAAGACGAGTGAATATAATATATTAAATATTTGGAAAATATTTTTGGTCGACTTCCGAAGTCGCCTTCCGAAATCGTTTTGCGAAGTCGCTTTTCGAAGTTGCCTTTCGAATTTCCAAAGACGCTTTCCGAAGACCTTTCCTGAAGGCGATTTCTAAGCAGTTATCAAGCAGTAGTTATCAAAAACACTACGCCTATGAAGAATTTAATACGCATTTGTCGTGTAGAGCAGATATAACGTGTGAAAACATTACATGCGATACATAAATAACGAAGCATAATTACTTCTGAAATATTTTCCACGCCACATCGTTTTTGTCCAAGACTCTCAGGCCTTCCAACCCTGGGATTCCGCAGGAGTATGAGACCTCGTTTAGAGCTTCCTCCAGCGTCTGAATCTGCCGGGCTTCCCCAAGGACAGCCAGAAAGCCCATGAAGGTCCCGGTGAAGGCACTCACAATCACCATCCCGAATGCGCTCAGCAGCAGGAACAGGAAGTTGCTTCGGCGGTCGCTCTCGCGAGTCACGAAGCCCCCGTTGATGAAGGCGTCTAAGACCTCGAGCATCACGTTCCTGAAGAAAAAAAACTTTAAATTAAGTGATGGGAGGAAGGCTACAAACTGCTTATGATCCAAAGGGCGATTGCCAAGGTGAAGACGATGGTAACGGTAGCTATTCAGGGATTTTATAATAGCGAGTTTTAGCCTCACGCGTAAGGTAGCGGCGATAAGCATTACAGTCACGTGACGGACCTTACGGTCATATCGTCTTACCTTACATCTAAGGTACGATCTATACCTTCATAAATCGTGCACGGCTGTAGGAATCTCTACGGTCACCTTACAAGCGTCTAAATGACCGCCTAAAAACAAGAAGAGTTGAATTTTTTCAACTCTGTTAAAACGATTCTCGTATGTGAGGCAGTTACAATTATTCCTTACCAACTCCTCAACGCTGGCAAGAATTAACAGGATATGTTGGAGAGGTGACAGGAAAGAAATTCGCGAAAAAGTAGTTCAAATCTAATCTTTGGAATACGGTATTGGTTACGTCTTATGCTCCTAACGAACGCTGTTTTAAGATATTTCCTATATTTTCAAGAAAAGCCGATTCAAAATTCCAGTCTGCATACTCATCACGGAGGGCCACGAAATCTAGAACTTCACGTACAATGTACATTTGTTATTCTGTTGGCTCATAACATGTTTTAAATGCCTCACCACTAGCCTGCACTCTTTGATATATTATGCCACTTCTTTGTTCAACGCTTGAAATGCTTCCTTCGTTATAATGCATGTCTCAATGCCACAATTGCCAAAACACTTCTGAAAGTTGTTCATTACGACCGTATAAAGCCGTTAGTTATGTGATCAATAAAGTTTTAGAATATCTCCTTACGCCTGGCGCCGAAACTCCGTATTGGTGCAGAGAGAATGAATGTATGACATGTGTTGGGAATAAAATTGGTAAGTGTGAGAGTACCTGCAGCCGAATGATGTAAAGAGTGCAGGCGATGCTGTTATGGCCTCTACCTGTTGCTGTTTAGATTCTTGCAGTACACTCCGGTTATTGTGAACTTCTGGGAACTAACATTGCTGATTCACTATATAAGACGATGTCAAAATTAAATAGAATTTCTCCTCAATGATTGATTTTATTAATATATATATATATATATATATATATATATATATATATATATATCACAAAGTTTCAATAATTTTTATTAATAATATTCCAGAGTTAACTTTCGGGAAAATATTTTTCCCAACTTCAGTGGATCTCTAGCAAGGAGGAGAAATGAAAACATTAACACAAGTTGAACACAATAAAAAGAAAAGAAAAGCAAGAAAAAAAAGAAAAAAGAAAAAAGGGGGCAAAAAAGGTGTACAGTGAATTTAGTAGAAAAACAAACACATAATATCATATAACTACCAATTGAAAATACTTACTGCCCAAGCAACGTGGATCTCCCATAAATGTTCACAGCATGGTCAAAAAATATGAAAACAGAAAAACATGCTGGTTACAGCTAGGTGACAGCCATCTTTTGGAATGGGAGAAGAGGAAGCCAACCAATTGAGGGAAAGGGGGGGATAGATGAGATGAAAGGGTAGTCATAAACAGTCAAACAATTTTTACTGCTTTACATACAGGAATGTAAAACAGAACAGAAAATTAACAATGTGCAAGATTCTAGAATTTTAATTGTATAAAGAACATTTTTTAACAAGTTGACTAGATAAATAGATATAAAAAGAAGGGAATGGGTCAATAATGATTAGGGGCTAGTTAATAAAGCATTTAGAATGGGACTGCTTTTAATCAAGGAATGTTCATTCAAGACAAAAAGTTCCCGAAAGTTAACTGTGGAAAATTATTATTAAAAATTATTGAAACTTTGTGGAGATTATTTCCATATATCTCATTTATATTTATAAAATATATTAAAAGCACGAACTGAAAATTTCATTATCTTTATAAATCCTTTAAAAATCAATAATTTCAATTGTTTATTTCGTACATTTTTCATTTGGAATTTTTCTAGATCCATCACCACAGTTCGTGCTCTTGGCGTACTTGATCACGGTTTCAGAGTATTGCAATGCAGTCTTGCCACTCACTATCCAATGCCTCGTGCACTGGAAGAAGCCCCACTCGTCGAAGGCCCTTTCAATCGCTTAATAATACACGAGATCATTTCGGTAGCGGCAAGGCGCAAGCGGTTAATAAAAGTGATCGCTATTCCGGGGGGGGGGGGGGTACCGGGAGGCTCTGAGACTGTGGCAGTTGCGCGCTTCCACTCGCCTACGTAGAAAACATCGCGCCTTGACACGAGGAATATCACGCAACATGAAGGTTGAAATTAAGTCGCATGACGTCAACAGTAAGAATCCCAATCCGGCGCCGCTACGTTCACCTCAGGCGAGTCTTCTCCGATTATGACCATTGGTCTATAATTGTTTTCAAACTGCCTAGTGTTGAAATTTGTGGCACTGAGGCCATATATTATTTTCCACGAGAAAATTTATTTCCATGTCATATTTCTTATATCCGAGGCTCACTATTACCGAGGTTTAAAGTCACTAGAACCGAATCTTCGTATGCTTATTTGTAATGTAAGTGAAACGGGACCAAAGACTTAAGTTCACTATAACCGAGGGTTCACTATAACCGATTTCACTACAACCTGAGTCGACTGTATGTCGTAGTTGGTTGGAATGGGAGTTGGTGACGTTGAGCTTACCTCCGGTTGAGTAGGCGAAGAGCACCAGCGAAGCTGACTAGGCTGATGGCTATGTCCGTCCATGTCAAACTGGTGAAAGACTGCAAGATAGTCTGTTGCACAGGTTGACGCCGTTTCACCAACATGCAAATACTGTTGCGTTTGTGTGGATAGAGCAATTCAGTAGGTGATCCGGCATGCGCAAACCATTCATGTGGCACGATGTTCACGTACCCGTTGTCAAGGGCCAGTTCCTTCTCGTCCCTAGGGACCTTCAAACACCTCCACTTCTTGTAACGCCTCATTAGTAACTGCGTGCACATGAAAAGCATGGATTTATTATCACTTTTTCTGCATTAATGATTGTTTTTATTTCAGTTACTTTTTGAACCGTTTTTTTAAAAACAAATTTTCTTTAAATCTCTTTTTAACACGGTACAATACCGAGCTTTCTATAAAATAGTAAAATGAAACCTATTAATTATCAAATAATTTAAGGGATCACGGAACGATTTGCGGTCAACAAATAGTTTTTTAAATTTTCATAAATCTCCATAATTTTTGTTTTAAATTTGCGTTTGAATTATGTTAATATCACTCTTACAAGTACTTTTTATTATTTACATGCAAAGGCCTCCTCTCATTGGGCTTCGGTGCTGGCTCTAAGAGTTTTAGTCACTGTTCCACAATTCAGCATATAAATATTGAAAGACATAGACATGCAGAAAGTAAATTGACTACTTGATGTTGTGAAGGAAAGCAACATAGAAAATTCTTAAAAAAACGTTTTTATTGAAAAATGATTATTCTCCTGAGGCAAGTTATCGAACAGGCGTGTTCGGAGAATTGCAAATTTAAATCCCATTTGCCGAAAGTTGATATTTGAATACTAAATGTATAATTTATCAACCTAGATTTGTAATAGAAAACTGAAGTTCTCAAGAGTCCTCTACATTTACTGGAAGCATTTTTTCTGATTAACTAAGTATTAACCATATGGTAAACTTTACTTACTAGAAAACCAGGTAAACAATTGCATTAAGGACAATAATTCTTTTATCTACAACAGTTGTAAACATTTTCAAAAACAGTTGTTTCAGTGTGGTGGCACATTGACCGCCAAATTGTTTCATATGGGGCGCCACGTTTCGAATAATGCAGTTTGCTGCTCTTTGAAGGCATATCAGAGGAAAAGATCATACATTTCAAATTTCGCTTCAAGGAGATTTTCATAAAATATTTCAATTAATTTTATTTAATCAAAAAAAGCCAAATAAATTTCTTCCAGTTGATCAAATACGCACTTTTTTCGTACCAACTTCCTTGATGTAGATTTTCTACTGCTTCCTGTTAGTTCGGCGCGTCATTGAAAGATCGCATCAGCTCCTGGGTAGCACCTCGTGCGAAAGCATGTAGGGGTCATTGTCGAAATTCTTGGAATACCTCTATTTCTAATTTAAACGCTACGACCTCGCATTGTCATCAGGAGCGATGTGCAGACAGCTCAATTAACACGTGTAGGACACGTTCAAGGAGTGCCTTGAACCTCTTTGCAGTCTAGCATGACTGAAACGACGAAATTCGTAACGAAAGGTTTGATTTGTTCTGGACAGAGGTAAACATGACAATCTCTCCAATACTCGTTGATTCTTTCCCCAAAGTAACAATCTTTGTTATTTGTGTGTCGTTTCTTTTCCAGAACACTCTTGTTTGATGAAAAATTATCTCGCAGTTCCTGCTAATTGCTCTACCAACGTATCTAACAAATATTTCACAACCTCAACACGGTGTTATTATGACCGATATATCTGTTACCTGTAAAAATGTCATAAGCCTAACTTCAACAGATTGTGAGAATTAATTCAAACATTTAACTTTGCCAGGATATGGCATTCCGTGCAGAGCAATGAAACCGCTATGGGGCACGTAACCCAAACGACCAATATCTGCACAATTCCGGTTCGATTAGAATGTTTTCAAAAGAATGTAACTAGTATTCTTGTGCACCATAAAACTTTAAAAGGCGATGGAAAATTTGAATTCTTGGTACTTCCTTTTTTGAAGCTATGTTGGGTGACAAGTATATCAACAACCATTCCTAGAAGTGATTTGCAAATGTATGTAACAAGACCTCCTAAAACATCGAAAAGACATCTTGATCATTTTAATCCTTTTAAACTTTATTTCCAGAAAGTTGATTGGTTGTATGTTACTGTTAAAGAGGGTAAAGGATATAAGGCTAGTTACAAGGTAATTGTTCATGCGACTGTTATTGTTAAAACTGAATAGTGAAGAATAACCGTCTTTTTATGGATAAATGTTTATAAAAAAGTAAAAATATATTTATAATAAATGGGGAATGCATAATGATATGAATTCCAGCCATTTCCACCAAATGACCGAACAAAACATAATATCAATTTATACAATCAGAACATTGACTTTGACATAAGTATTGGTGATGGTTTCTGTTATCCGCACCACGCTTATTGCTATATGCGATTCGAAGTTTTCATAAACGTGGGTCAAATTTTACTACTTACCCTTCAAATATTAAACTGATTGAAAATTTCTTTCCTCTTATGTTTTCAGATAAATGATTAGGACACACGGTACAATTATTGAAAGAATTGATCACCCAGGAATTTGTTTCAATTACTATATTCTTATTATTATATCCTAGTATAGATCCTATTATTCGTCAGATGATACAAAAGAGTTAAACATGAGATTCTTTACTGGTGAGAAAGTTCAAAGAAAGGAAAATGAAATTTTCTTTCCGCCCTAATAGCTATTTGGTTTCTTTCAAGATTATCAGGAAATAACGTGGAAAGGTGGTTTACAGATTTCCTTTAAACGAAACGTAAATGATAATTGTTTATTCAGGTGGGGTGAAGGGGTAACAATACGAAAAGAAGGAAAATTTGTAATTAAAAGCATTTCAGTAAGAATGCGTATTGTTGTTTATCAATCTAACTACCCTGATCAAATAAGAGGAACGATGCTGAAGAACCGTAAAACATCGATACATTTTGGAACCTACCAATGTATTGAATTTGCAGGTTTAAACGGTATGGTTTATCAGCGCCCTGTGTAACGGGAAGGCGCGGCAAGGAGTTGACCTTGACCGCTTGCAGCGGTAAGCATCCTCACGTAGCTTGTACATTCACTGATAGATAACGTCATAAGGAGCGTCGAGTGTAACATATATAGCATTTAAAGCGCGTTGCCATGGATTGGTTCAGTAGCTACAATCGTTAAAGCACTGAGTTACTGAATAAGCCGACCTGCATTCAAATACCTGGGCCGGCGCATATTTAGTAAGAATACACTTTACGTTGAAACCGAAGTGGATTTTAACTGGATGGGCCCTATAAACAAAAATGAAGCTTTGGTGAATATGTAAGGTGTGAGCGCCATATTCTCAAAATACCTTTTCTCTCTTTCACATGTATCTGGAGCACAAGTGTTACTAATCGTGAGTTGTGTGACGTGTAAACTGTCGAGTGGAAAAAAGTGTGAGTAGCAACAGATAGGAGCTCCCTAGATGTAGATTGTATAAACAAATTCAAGGGGTATTTTTCACTTGTTATTAAACACAGTGGGCCAAATGATTAAAAGTATTCGATCAAAAGTTATAAGTGTTCAGTTCAGGGCGGGTGATGCAGAACAAGTACTTGCTCAAACTCAATTTGGATATTGATTGTAACTAAATTTCTTGGGAGCGCGGGGGAGCGTCAGAACATACACTTTTTATCTACTCACTATAGAGAACAAGTTGTATTTAAAGGAAAAAATCTCTATTTTCAATTTAGTACTTGTAAGAGGACACCGAAAAAATGCATACTTTTGAATTTTTCAATAATTTTGAATTAATCATAAGAAAAGGTCATGCCTCATTTATAAGTGTATTTTACTCTATTCTTACAAAAAATTTAAACAAAAAGTTGAAGCCGCTTTTGAGCAAATTTTAAAAAATGTCATGAGGGTTTAATGTTAAGTACATGCTTAAAGATTTTGAAGCATTAGATATTCAAAATCTAAATGCTCCGTCTTCAGCCAGATGGACAATTTGTTTTTTCTATTTAGAAAAAACTTCTGTGCTTGGTTTAGGGGCTAGTTGTGTTCACAGACACCAGACGGACGGAAAGACGGACGTTTAATAAAACACTTTTTCGGTATCTGGGGACTTCAAAACGTGTATTTCCGTTGAAATATTGAAATCGATTTTCCGCAGCATTACATAAAATTCCCCCGAATATTACTCCGTATATACAAACGTATACGGGAAAGTAAAAAGATACGTTATCGAAATATTTTTCGACGGGCAACAATTCAGGGCAACATTAGCAGTATAATAAATGTAGAAATAAAGATAAATTAATGGGTCAGGATGAAATATAAAAAGAGAAGGGAAATAGTGTGAATTGAAATAGGGAATTAGTAATAGACACGTGAGAAATTTCCATGAATATAAGTAGAATTAGATAATTATAAGGAGACCGGAAATCAAAGAATAAAGAGAGTGAGAGGCCAAGAGGGAGTTATCCAATCAGGAGAAGCATGGACATTAGGCAAAGAGGGGAAAGGCGCAAGATCAACTAACGCGGAACGAGTCCGAGACGATAGTCCGCATGTGGAAGACAAGTGAACAGCGCGGATTACAAACTGCCGGGACACAACAGCTTGGACTTTGGTAGAGGGCAGAGGGTTGTAACGCTGTAATGCAGACACAATGGTATAGATTTTCGTCGCGAACAGACGTGTGGTAAAATAAGAACGTGTGGAGATGTGATAGAGTACAATTTATTAGTTGTGTGGAATAATTTTTGAGAGACTAATGTAAACGTTTTTTGGAAATACACGGACGCAAGAATTGGACTGAACGGTACCCGGCTAACGTGGGATGACGTCGCCGATGGTCGGAGAAAACAAATGAAAATCATCGTTCAAGTTTGCTAAGGATCCGGACAGGGAAGTGATAACACATTAATAATATTTCTAATTTGTAAGAAGACCAGGGATCTGTCATTAGTTTCATATGTTCAGTAAGGTTTCGTGGTAACAAAAGGTAACAGGGCTGTAAGTGAATGTAGAAATCAAAGAGTGTTTGATTGTAAATACGGTGAGTATTAGTGGAGCTGATTGACAAAATATTTGTGTTGTTTCGCGATATGTGTATTGTATTCTTGTCTTGTTTTGTAAGCCACGGAAGAGAGACTGAAATTATGTGTTAATTAAAATTCTGTGCGAACGGTTCTATCGACCCACAAAAATTAATTTTCTGTAGCTCTCAACACTCCCCCCTGGGCTAATAGCGTAAATGAACAAGGAACTTTGTTTACATTAAAAGGGAAGGGTAGCGGGGAGATATTTCAGTTAAAAATATGGGTTACTATCAATTCCGTAAATTAAAGAATAGTTAGGGATGAATAAAATGAAAATAAACACACAAATATTACTAAAACCAGTGTTTAGAAGAGATACATGAAATGGTAACAAAAGATTTATGGTACAGTGACAAGAATGTAAAAATTGTTACAATTCCAAGAAATGCAAACACAGACACAATAAATAATACACATATGAGTACATTGCAGAATAAAAGTAAAATAAATTTATACATTTACTTGCTGCAGGAATCATATGACGCAGTTTACAATGCTGTTGCTACAAAAGTTAAATATAATTTGTTTTTTCAACGCTTTCCTTTCAGTTTAGCAGGTGCTTTCCTCGTCAAGAAAGAAAATTAAACATTTCAAAGAAAAGCAATTCTGGGATAACACAATGAATTGAAATATCGTGTAAAAAAACGAATGTTTTCCACGTCTACTTCAAAAAAATACAAATCAATGTTAAGCCAAAAGGCGGACTAAACTCGTGAAATATGATCAGGATATTTTTAATTCAAGTAACCAAACAAAAACAATGTGGAACGTAATATATCATATGACCACACCAACTAGAAACTTTGTAATTTATGTTTTAAACCGATCCGTCAACACCAGCTAGTCTCTTCAACTAATTTTCGAGAATTGCTGTTGATCTCACTACGGGGTTTCAGTCATGAAATTCAACATCACACGTTTTCCCAAAAACTTTAGACACTATGTTTGTTTTCGAAACTTTTACGTATGAAATTCTCAAAATGATAGGTAAAAAATAAATGTTCGGTCGGTTTAGATCAATTTCTGGATTGTTTGTCAATGACTTGTGTTCTCGCCATTATAGACTCGTTAATTTACATATTTAATTCATCCTTATGCACCGGACCTTTTCGAGATATTTTCAAAAGTGCTAAGATTAAGCCGCTCTCCAAAAAGGCAGCATAACTGCAATTCAAAAGTATCGGCCAATTTCTCTTTCCCAGGTTTTAAAAATATATTAGACTTTTACATACGAATGGAAACCTTCCTCAATAATAAAACGCGTTTCCAGATTACCAACATCGATTTCGAAAGTGAAAATCTACGAAAAATGTCATATTTTTTCTTAATGATGTTGCTTTATACATAGATCGAAACGAAACACCTATTGGAATATTTTCAAATCTTTCAAAAGCTTTTGACGCCATTGATCTCTTCGGTCATATTTTCAAAATTACTTTCGAATGGAATCCGTGATATTTCTCTAAATTGGTTATGTTCTTGTCTTTGAAAATTTCAAAGAGTAGAAATACCGTACTGAAATGATGAGATATTATATACATACCTTTCCGATTCATTGCATAATTGCACATGATGATACGAATATTCTTTGTAATAAAGAAACCGTGAATAGGGAAAAGGAAGTTTCAGATTGGTTCCGTAATGATAATTTAATAGTACATAAAAAGAAAACGTTTTCAATCTAGTTTTTATTTAAAATAAACAATTTGGAGCTCCATTGAAACTCAACGTGTGCCATTGACGGATGCAGAGGTTATCACATCTTTAGGTTCTCAATTCAGCAAATCTCAAATGGAGCGTCCATGAAAATGAATTGAACACAATATTAAGTTCATTATACTACGCGTTCACAATTTTTCATATTCAGTCACATTGCTCGTTGTATATATTTCGCGAATGTTCATTCCTGTCTAAGATACGGTATGGCATAATATTCTGAGAAAATACATATTATAGCTCCCTGACGTTTAAGTAATTGAACAAATTGTACGAATAATAAGTAATTCCAACCAACGTGATTTTTGTAATTTTCTCGTTAATAATCTAGGAATTTAACCTAGTATCTTGATTTACGAGTCTATG